CAGGTGTTTAACTCATATTCTTTTATTTCTAATATGGCAAGAACCATGAAGTTAAAGTTTGATAAGTATTGGGAAGACTATTTTATGTTATTCTCAATTGTTTGCATTTTAGATTCTAAAATGAAATTATTTGTCATCAACTACATTATCCACAAACTTATGATGAATTTATTGTGAATGAAAAGAATAATATTATGAAGCAAAACTTTTTTTGAGATGTATTCTTATTATGTTGTTCATAAACAACAAAGTCATTATGCATTGATGTGACAAAAAGTTAGAATTTCACATACAAAATGTTAAACTCTGCATTTTATGATAAAGATGTCTTTCGTGAATATGTTTTGTAAGATCTTGATTATGTTTCATTGTCATTACAAAATGAACAACAAAATCATTATGCATTGATGTAACAATACGTTGGAATTCCACATACAAAATGTTAGATTCTACATGTTATGATAAAATTGTCTTTCTTGAATATGTTTTGTAGGATCTTAATTATGTTTCATTGTCATTAAAGAATTAATGGGATTAATTTGAAATTATTAGAGAATTATTTCATATTCTTTGTCGAATAATTGAAATTTTCTTTGGTCCAGTTATCCCACAGCAGATAACTTTTTTTTTAAATTTAATGTTCATTAAGAAAATTTTGGATGACAGGTGTTTATCTCATATTCTTTTATTTCTAATATGGCAAGAACCATGAAGTTAAAGTTTAATAAGTATTGGAAAGATTGTTTTATGTTATTCTCAATTGTTTGCATTTTAGATCCTAAAATAAAATTATTTTCATCAACTACTATTATCCACAAACTTATGATGAATTTATTGTGAATGAAAAGAATAATATTATGATGCAAAACCTTTTTTGAGATGTATTCTTATTATGTTGTTGATAAACAACTTATTGGAAAAGATATCAGCGAAGCATTCACCTCCAACTCTCAAGTAAAAGCAACAATCACAAGACAAGGCAACGACAGTTCACTTGATGATTTAGTTGGCTTATATGATTTTATAGATTTGACTGAACCTATATTTCCACAGAAGTTTGACATTGAGTTATACTTAGAAGAAGCATGTGTTAAATGCCCAAATTCAGAGTTTGATATTTTGAAGTGATGAAAAATATCCGCCATGAAAAACAAAACTCTTTCTAAGACGCCAAAGGATATATTTACAGTTCAAATCACAATTGTTGCATCTGAATCAACATTTAATACTAGTGTGCTAAATGATTTTAGGAGTTCAATTTCCTTGAAAACACTTTATGTCTTAGTGTGTACTGGTAAATGAATTCAACATGCATATAAATCATCAAAGGAACAATTGATAAAATATAATTTCTTTTTTTTATAATTAAATGGTATATTTACATAGATCTATGCAAACGTCTGGCTCTCTTTTGCAACTTTAGTTTGAAATTCTTGTGGAAGATATATTAGCAGTACGTGTTCTTGAAAACTTGAGTGGTGAATCTCAAATTTGAAAAGGTTATTCATTTAAAAATTAGAAGTCATAATTAGTAAATGAACACGGCAATTTTCTTTATTTCATTGCTCTTACTGGACAGTTACAGGAGGGTGTACCTTGGTGTATGTTTTCCGCTGATGATATCCTTCTTGTGGATAAGGCTAGAGAAAGAGCGCAAGAAAAATTAGAATTATGGAGGTCAACTTTGGAGTCTAAATATCTTTGTTTGAGTAGAACTAAAATTGAATACATGGATTGTAATTTAGTAGTAATAGCTCTAGTGATAGAGTTGTTACTATGGGTGATCAAATTATTAAAAGGTGTGAAAGATTTAGATATCTCGGGTCTATTGTTCAAAGTGATGGCGATATAGATGGGAATGTTATTAGTAGAATTCAAGTTAGTTGGATGAAGTGGCGGAATGTTTCGGGCCTATTGTGTGATTGGAAAAGTATCGCTTAGACTGAAAGGAAATTTTATAAAATGGTAATGAGATGAAAAATGCTCTATGGCGCAAAATGTTAGCCTTTAAAAGAGAAGCACAAAATTAAGTTAATTGTTACCGAGACGAGAATACTTAGGTGGATGAGTAGTTTTACACTTAGAGACAAATTTCAAAATGAATATATCTGTGATAGAGCTAGTGTAGCTCCAATGACGAATGAGATAGTTATGACTTATGAGATTCGTAATTTTGTACTCCTAATATGTTGCATTTTTTTTGGGTATGTTGTATCTATTATATGTTTTATGATATCAAATTATAGCATTTATATTTTTTTTTCTCATGCCCTTAAATTCTTGTATTGTCGATAATAATAGAACACTACACTTGGTTCTTGTTTAGTAAATTGGTTGAATGTTTTCTACAGAATAATGATGTAAGTCAGTCATAGTTGCTCAACCAATCATCTTGAATCTTTCTGTTCTTTAAATTATGGGTGATATCATGAAATATTGATTTTAAATTCTTGTATTGTCGATAATAATAAAACACTACACTTGGTTCTTGTTTGGTAAAATGGTGGAATGTTTTCTACAAAATAATGATGTAAGTCAGTCATAGTTGCTCAACCAATTATCTGGAATCTTTGTGTTCTTTAAATTATGGGTGATATCATGAAATATTAATATGCAGTTTAGAGTGTTATCTAGAATCTATCAAAATTATATGTTGTAGCAAATATTTTAAACTCATTTCATGTCACACTAACTTACCAGATTGGATGGACTTTATTATGACTGAGATTTTTTTGAAATCTTCTTATTTGATTCTTGATATTTTGGGAATAGAAAAGACATACTTTGAAGATATAAATTCGTTTATATGTGTGTTCAAAGTAATTTAGTTGTCAATGCTTGTGAAACACTAGATAGAAAAAATATGTTTTATAAAGGTTTTGATTTAACTTTATATGTTTTATGGCCTCTAGTTTGGAAGCTTGTTGTATGTGGCTAAACTGATTCAAACATATGTGTTTTGCACATATACAAATCTGCAGTTAATTATATTTGGATTGTTACTCATCTTTTCTTAGCGGCATTTAAATATATACCACATAATTATTATGTACTTACATATCTAACACCTAAACATTAATATTTACATGAGTTCTTTAGGTGTTAGATAAGTAAATATAGAAAATTGTGTGGCATGTATATAAATTTCTTTTTTTCTATGATGTGAAGAAAATGAGAATAAGGTTAGAAAGTTTTGTACTTTTTGAATGTATTCTTCTACCCTGTAACATTCCTCCAAATGATCCATAAGCCCCTAAAATACAAAATTACAATCATTTTAGTTGATATTTCAAATTACAAGTTTCTTCTTATTTGAAGCAAACATGATAAGCTTATTATTATTATCTGATCTTTTTTTAAGTCATAGAAGTGAGCATTATTATTTGTTAGAAAATTTGGTGTATGATTTAGTTTAAATGTAGTCGTCATGTTTTCTCCAAGTTTTTGAAATGGAGAAATTAGTTAATCTTATGAAAGCTAAATATAAAAAACAAAGATACGTGTATACCACGTTGTGATTTAATCATTTTGCAGATTTGAGTACTATATATTTACATAAATAAAACTTTATTACTATCAAGTTTTATTTTTTTGCAGCTTTGAAAAAAATATGAGGATGAAAGTCATTAAGATTCAAGAATCATTTTATTTTGCTTTTATATATAATTTTTATATTTGATATTTGTAACTATCAATTGTCATTTGTAAATTTATAATATGTAATTTGTAATTTACAAATTCTGATTATAAGGATATAAATAATATTTGCTTCGCCTTATAATAATTTGTAAATTTGTATTTTGATGATTCATTCAAATAAAATTATATTAATATTTTTTTCTATTTTACTTTTTGTTTTTCATATTAATAAATATTTTCTATTCAAATGAAGTTTTGAAGCCGGCTCATTATGTCTTTTGAGCCGACTCAAGCAGAGTTTCAAGCCAAATTGATCATATTTTTTAGTTGGATCGATCCGGACCACGAGCCAAAAAGGCCATTCAAGTTGGCTCGTTTAAAATTCGAGCTGGCTAGCAAATCGTTTGATTTCGATTTGGATTGGATAAAATTTAAGTTGAACCGAGTCACTAGCCAATTTTGATTCATCTAAAACAATTTCCTGATTTTGAGCCGCCTATGGATCTGCTCGAAATTGACTCATTCACAGCCCTATATGAGACATTCAGGAATCCTATTTATCGATCTCAGAATGTCATTGGGCTCATACACACACATATTACATGATTTTTATGTATTTATATATCTGATACCTAAATTTTAATTCTTACAATTATGTCTACGGTTGTAAAAAAAACTTGTTCGCGAACAACTCGTGTTTGGCTCATTAAGTAGCTCGTGTTTGAATCGTTAGTTAAGTAAACGAGCTGAACACAAACAATTTTTTTAAACTCGAATTATAAATGAGCCTAAAACAATCATTTGTTTGATCATGTTCGACTCATTTTAGCTTTAAAAAAAAAAATTATATATATTATTTATATAATAATACATTATATACATTTATATCTAAGTTTAAATCATAACAACTCATGTGGTCTTGTGGTTTTGTGCCTTTTACCATACAAAATTTATGCAGGTTCAAATACAACACCTTACATCTAATTTTTCTAATCAATTGAAACAAGCAATTATTAGTCAAACAAGAAGAAGAATATGTAACTTGAGTCGATTCACACTGTTCATGAGCAATTTCGAACATGAGTCAATTTCAAAAAAACCAAACACGAGCCAAGCTTGAGCTCGTTTATAGCCAAAATTATACGTTGTGTTTCACTTTTTAGAAATTAACAATTGTGGTATTTTTGTGAATTAAAAGATATAATTGCTATAAATATTAAAATTAATTTTTGATGTTAAATATGTAAACGCCTAATCTAAAAGGACCCTACAACTTTTGGATAAAATCCCACTAATAAGTTACTGAAAAAATTTATATACAAAATAAGAGAGGCAAAAAAAGTCAGAAAAATTAAACTTGCCTTTAATTCAAATTAACGTCGACTACCAGGGAAAAACAACTCCACTCCATTTTCCTTCACCTGGATGTGAAAATTGCTAGCTCTGTCTGTATACTGCCCATCATTGAACACGCCTTTCTTCAAAATGGTCAACTGTAGGAAAAAAGAAAAGCACATCACACATAAATAAATAAATAAAAATAAAATAATGCACTTTTGTGTATTTAAATATATAACATCTAAACTTTCATATTTACATATTTAACCCTCAAATTTTAAATAGTAAATCATAAATATTATTATTACTACTTAAAAGTGAAATGCACTCTTTCATGCATAATTGTATGACACCAAAGTGTTACAGCTACAAAAGTAAATATCAAACTTCAGATGTTAGATTTGTAAATATATAGGTATTGAGTGCAACAGTGTAATATTAAACACCAACTTAACTTATTGGTTAACAACTTAAACTTTCAACCAAGAAAATATGAGTATGAGGCTTTGCATATATGGTGTGCATGCCTTTACATACATACCACCCAATGCTTATGCATATGTCTTTACATATCTAATGCCTAACTTTTACTTTTTACATTTATACCGACCAAATCTTTCATATCACATTAAAAATATCACTACTTTATTTTCTAAAATGTGAAATACGCCTTTTATGCACATAGAAGGTGGCACACACAAACATATTTAAAAGTTAAAATAATGATATTTTTAATATGATATCAAAGATTTTGATGGTATAAATGTAAAAAAAAGGTCTTATATATGTAAATACAAAAAAATGGGGCGGTATGTATGTAAATGCCCCTTTTCTGAAATGAAATACACATTTTCATGTCATGATATGAATATAACACTAAAGTGTCGTATGAGTAAATATCAAATTTTATGTGTTAAAAATGTGAATGCATAGAAATTTTGTGGTATGTGTATAAATCCCCTTTTATTCTTATTTTAAAGTATACAGAGCTATAATATATTAAAAATCAAGCTTTCCAGGCTCTTCATGGGATGTGGATTGACAATGATCCAATCTTTCTAGATGGCATTGATGAATGTAATGAGTGTTGATTGGAAAGTTGAGAGTTGATATTGACTATATGTAAGATGAATTAGAGTTTGATGATGAATATTTGATATGCAATTGCCATACCCCAACTGACCACACTTGAGTCAAGCAATAAATAAACAAGCATGATTTCACTTAACGCATACAATATTCTTTAACCATACCTATTTTATAATCTCAGCATCGAAAGTCATGGATTCAATCATTTTTCTGTCACAATCAATTCTTATCTATTTACATATCCAACAGCTAAAGTTTAATATTTTTACATTAATACCACCCAAATCTTTCATATGACGTAAAAAATATCACCATCTCAACTTCTAGAACGTGAAATATACATTTTCATGCATAGGTAAGGTGGCACGTGTGTAAAAATTGAATTTTAGGTGTTACATATATAAACACATAGGAATTGAGTGGTATGTAAGTCTTCTGAAAAATAAATGCAAACCTGTCCATGCACATCAGCAGATATGCCGGTAACCAGAGGCTCCACCTTGATAATAAAGTCTGCTGGGTAAATTAGATGAGAAAGAAGCCTTGGAGATTCCATCTCCAGATAGACATCTTCATGATTCAGAATGACCAGAGAACAATCCTGAAATATACATGATTAAAAAATAAAGAATGAAGAGAGCTAAAAAGAAAGCATATGTTAGAAACAAGGAAGATTTACATATATACCATTCAATTCCTGTTTATTTACATATTAACACCTAAACTTCAATGTTTACATGCATACCACCTTAACTATGCGTGAAAATGTCTATTTCAGTTCTTAAAAGTTAAATTGGTGGTATTTTTTAATGTGATGTGAAAGATTTGGGCGGTATAAATGTAAAAGATAAAGATTAGGTGTCAGATATGTAAATTCAAAGGAATTGTGTGGTCGGAATGTAAATGCCCTGAGAAACAAACATTGGAAGGGATATTTACATACCAGTGTTAGAAAAATTATTATTTACAAAATTAGCACTTAGGTGATTTTTTTAACTACTAAACTAGGGCTAACAAAAAAGTTTGTTGTTCATAAAAGAATTATTTGCTAAGGAAGCGAGTCGAACAAGTATAAATTTTTTAAGCTCGAATTATAAACGAGTCGAACACAAACAGCCCTGTGTTTGATCGTGTTTGGCTAGTTTTAGCTTGAAATAAGAAAATTATATATGTTATTGAGGAGATTCAAATCTAACACCCTAAATTTATTTTTCTAATTAATCTAAATTAGCCAATTTTGAGTCAAACACAAGCCGAACACTAACAAAAAAGTGCAAATCGAGTAGTACAAGAACACACTGTTTACAAGCAATTTCGAACATGAGTCATTTTCTAATAGAATTAATTTCGAATGAGTTGAACACGAGGCGAGCTTGAGTCAGTCAGCTCATTTACAAGTCCTATATCAAACCAATGCATATACGTGTTATGTGATCAAACTATTAAAATTTTGATAAAAATGATAAATATGGGTTGGGGTTTTATCATGATATTTGATATTTGAGTAAGAATTTGATTAAAAAAAATGTCCAGATTTGTAAATATCGATATTTTGAGTATATGTATGTAATTGCCCCGTATTAAAACCATATAAAATAGGGGCATTTACATACATAACACACATTTTTTATATATTTATGAATCTCACGCTTAAACTTTCTTACACATAGCACTCAAATCTTTAATATCACATCAAAAATAGCATCATACCACTTCTTAAAAGTCAAACACACATTTTAAAGCAAAAAAGGTGCCATGTATGTAACTATGATATTTTACGTGTGAGATATGTAAATACATAAGAATTGAAGCGATACCTACGTAAATTTCCCAAAAAAAATAAGCTGTGGGATTTGGCTAACCTGTTCTGACGTAAGGGTAAAACAATAGTGCAGAAAGTCTAATACATGATCCATAGAACCATGAGCTGCAATCTCCAAAATCGACAGGTCATCAATCATGATAGAAATGTGAGCCCTCCTATCATCCCCTGAGGATTTAACCTCTACAGCCCTTAAGATCTTTGAATATAATTCAACGAATCCGTCTTCTATGCCATTTTTCTGTGCCTCATCTAAACAAAGCAAGCATAGAAGTATGATAAATCCATGATTAGTATTCTGTAGTTCAAGCGATTTACAAAATAAATGTACTAAGGATGCTTGAGGAAACGATGGAAATGCCAATTTGATTTTCAGATCACCTGGAAACTCCATTTTAAGCAGATCTATGAAATGAAATCTGTTTTGCTGCCTATGCATTGAAAGATTGCATCCCTGGTTGAAATGATAAGAATCGATCAGACACACACGCCTACCAGAGCTCGCAAGAGATACTTGACCCTACGATGTTCGATGAAATGGAGCAACATATAAACGCGTAACTTGCTTACCTGCTTCCGAAGAATGCGATCGTAGTGGGAGAAGGGGTGGGAAAGAGCAAGGAAGAGCACTGACCCCCCATGTTCAGGGGAGAGAGCACGCTTGACAAGGTGATGAAGAACGAAAGCGCCGCTTGTCTCCACGCAGTCTTCCACCAGAACGACACGCCCCCGCGCAAGAGCACCGCCGGCGTAACCGGCCGCCATGAGCCCTAAAGCTTCGTCGAGAAGGTTTGTGCTGGGGTTCATGGTAGATGCAGACCCTTCGTCTTCGGGATGCTTTCCAGCATAAAAACTGCGATGAATTTATCAATTAGTTCCCGCCTGCAAATGACGCTTGGCTCGGTGTGAAGAGCGAAAATTAGCGCAATAAGAGCTACACGCTGATTCGGGAAAAGTAAAGTTAAATCTGGGATGTGGGTGTGCCGATTATGCCCTAAGGTAACATCTCTCATGTCATGTCGCACTCACTTCTCTCCAATCTGTGGCTTTGGTGGCTATGATTTGTCTTTTTTTTCTCCTCTCCCTCTTCCCTCCTCCCTCCGATCTCCGACTTTGTTTGGTTCATTCGCTCCGTCCTCCCATGATATCCTCCACCATTATGTTTGTGGTTTGAAATGATTCTGCAATTCATGGCTTTCTTTCTGTGATTTTTAGTTTTCTCATTTGTATTTTGAAGTTCTGCATTTGGTAATTTTGGATTATAAGATTTTTTTTTTTCTTTGTGCTTTGTTATGTTGATGGTTTGGTGGCGGTGTGGTAGTGGGTGATTTTGTGGTGGTTGTGTTGTGATATTGGTGGTTGCCCGAAATTGTAGCAATATGTATTGTGACTTTGCTATACTATGTGCTCTGTTCTGAAAGCCATGCTTTATTGGTGGTGGTGGTGATTTTGTGGCGGTTGTCGAAAATTTTGGATTTTGCAATTATGTTTGTGTTTGCACGAAATATGTTGTTGTGCTGTAATATTGGTGGTTGCCCAAAATAGTGGTTGTGTTGTTATGATAGTTGGTGTTTGCCGAAATATTGTGATGCTTGTTGGTGGTTGTCTAAAATATTGTTGTTTTAATGTTATGGTAGTAGTGGTGGCGTTGATATTGTGGTGTTGGTGGTGGTTGTGATGTTATGTTGGCCGTGTTCCTGTGGTGGTGGTGGTATCGGTGTTGGTGCGGTCTTTGGTGTGGTGTTGTTTTGGTGATAATTGTGTGGTGTTGGTGTTGTGTGAAGCTGATGGTGTGGTAGTAATGGGTTTTTCATGTTGGTGGTGTTGGTTGTGCAGTGTGTAGTGGTTGTGTGGTGTTGTTGGTGGTTGTGCTGTAATGGTTTTGTAAGAGATAGTAATTATATGGGGGTGATAGTGTTGGTGATGAGGCAGTGGTAGTGTGTTGGTTTTGATGATGTGATGGTGGTGGTGGTGTATTAGTGTTGATGATGTGGTGGTTGCTTGTTGTTGTTGATGATGTGGTGGTTGTAAATGGTTAATATGTGGTGGTGATGGTATGTTGATGGATTTGAGATATTTCTATTACTTTATTTTTTTGCATTTCCCATAAATTTATATTACTTAATTTTTTGCGTGCTAATTATTGTAATGGGCAGGAGAAGAGATTTTTCCGTCTGCTGCCTAGGATAAAGACATGACATTAATATTTTGTTATATATGTTTTAAGGAGAACGAATTGGGAAATATGTCAACCACTTGTTTTTACAAGAAAATATGAAATAATATAATAAAAGAAAGTTAAATAAAAGCGTAGGAAGCGAATAAGATTGAATGTAGCTTAAAAACATTTGGGATAAGTTAAATAAGATTTGAAAAATATGGAAAGAGCTAAAGCAGGGATCCACAAACTTGGGTTGAGACTCTGTAAAACAAACCATCGATCATTTTGAAGAATAGTGGACTGAGAACTTGGATGTAAGAATGTTTGAAACATAAACTCGTTTAACTTTTTTTAAAGTTTTTCATTAATCAATTTAAGTTTTAATTGATCTGTAGTTCATGACAATTGCGAGAAATTTTAAGTTCAGCATCATTGGCCCTTAGCTTGAAGATAAGTTGGATTGTATGTGCAGTGGAGTGGTGGTTACCGGTGATCAGGCAGGAGCACTAAGCAAGATAGGACGTGAAGCAGAGCTGAGCATTTAGAAGCATAGCAATATGCTGAGTCCAATGAGGGGTCCAACCTCTACTTAAATGAAGTAGGATATACTAGTCGATCCAAACGTACATGGGTAAAGAAAATGAAAAAAAGTTTGTCCTGCTTTCATCAGAAACCGGATCCACCAATTAAAGGGTTCATGCACCAATAAGCTTATTGGATCACACACGACTTATATTCAACAAATTAAAAGAATTATGGAATATACTCCATAAATTAATGATGACACATCGTTTTAATTATTCTCCATGAAGTTGTTAGAAGACTTAACCAGGAGATGTTTTTTATGTCAATGAAACCTAACCATAGGATTAATTATTTGAGAAGATATAGGGTTTATTTATAACATGTGAGGGAGGGGCATTTCAACCCTTTAGTGAATAACTCCCTTAACTAGCTTATTAGATGACTCATTTTGATCCACCTTTATCATATGAGTTCTTTTAATGATTTGAGAGTCATAATGATCTTGAAATTAAGCAATCTCAAGCTTGTTGGATTTCTCTCATCGAGACACTCGATTTAAATATAAATATGTAAAATCAAAGGTCATTTTACCGTTAAACTGATGATTAAAAAACTCAAAGTGCTTTAGTAGCATTGGACTCGAATCAAACCAATTTTGGTATTATCGTGTTCATCTTGTTAAGAAAAATAGTTTGACTATAATTTTGTTAAATTAGGACCTTTTAATGCTATTGAATTTGAATATGGATTTTCTTGCTAAAAAATAGCACGAGATTCATGTCAAGCGATAAAAATCTCTTGATGACGCGTCAATAGTAAACATGAATCATGTAATATATTTCATATAATTTTTGGAGAATTCTAAGGGGATTAGAGTTGTCTTCAAGATATCGTGCTAGAAAATATTTGATCGTTTTATTTTAAATTGACGAGTCAAGTGGGAAAACATCCAACTATATTCTTAGTTTTTTGACATATATTACTATTTTTGGCAATCAAATATAGCTATGTTCTTGTCAATGATGATTGGCGAGGTTTGTAAATGTTGACATTGGTTTAATGACGTGCATCAATCTCATAAAAAAAGGCTTGCATCAATAACAAGCATCGGTCTTATAAGTGATGGCGTGCATCGACAATGCATTAATATTTTAGATAACGAGGAGCTAAGAAGTTGGTGGGTGTTGATGGTAAGAATATCTATATCAAATCGTAATGCGGGAGAGCGTAGTAGGGTAACAATATACAGAGCATGTAATTATAGATAGATGAAGCCTGAGGAACTGTGGTGAAGTATTAGCAATCAAGGGTGCTCATGAATAATCGCAGACAATCAAGTGATTATAATCGGGTGATCGTAGTCGAGCAATGATGGTCGAGCAATCATAGTAAATAAATAGCAGCCGAGGAAACATAAATAAACAATAATGGGGGAGCAGTTGTGGTCATACAGCCATGGATGGGCAATAAGGTCGAGCAATCATAGTCAGGATCGTAATTAGACAACGATAATTAGGTGATCATAATTCAAGCAGTAATAATCGAGTGATATTGATCAATTGATCATACTTAGACACTAGAGATTGGATACTATATTCAGTCAATGATAGTTGCACATATGATAAAGATAAGACAATCATAGTTGGGTGACAATGTCGAAGTAATCGGGGCAACATAACTTTGTCAAGTCAATCATATTTGAGAAATAGTTTTTTTTTTAATGATGGATAAGTGAAGAATGTCATTGACTGTAGTTAGGTGCAGGAGATTAGGTAATCACGATCATTGTTTGATAAGCGATTATAAGCAGACAACCATGAATCATCGATGATAATTGGACAATCATAGATGGGTGAAAAAGACTGAGTGATCATTACTCTATTAACTACTGAACCATACGTGCATCACGATGAAATCATTTAGAGTTTGATACAAATAAATAAATATGTATTTAGATTTTGTCATGAATTGGATATTTTAGCGACAATTAAAAAATAAAGACTTACATACATACCGCTCAATTCTTATGTACTTACATTTCAAAATGTGAACTTTAATTTGTACAAATATGCTAGCTTCCTTATGCATGAAAATATGCATTCCAACTTTTAAAAATTAAAATGTTGGTATTTTTAATGTGATGTGAAAGTGTCGGGTAGTATAAATGTAAAAATTGAAAGAGAGAGTGTTAGATATATAAATATATAAGAATAGGGGGTATTTATGTAAACACCCCATTAAAAATATGATTATCTTATAAATGATAATATTTTGGATGTTATGTGAGAAAAATTTCATTATATTTGTTCTCTTATTAGTTCTTATTTTAGATTTGGGCAAGGCCATTGAAACCTCCTTTTTACAAATCAACAATTATTTTCATCCATTTTTCAAATCCTCACTCAAATATTAAAATATTTTTCATTTTTTTCAAATTCTAATGCCACGCGCAAAAACATAAAGTTCGGTAGTTAAAAAAAAATAAATGACGGCTAATTTGTAAATATCAATATTTTGTATGAAAAAAATTGCATAAGTAGATTACAGGAAAGATAATGGAGGTTATAAGTGTGTTATACTTCTGTAACTTTCCTGTAACTTCTGGTAAGTTCCGAACTGTGTTATATTGCTGTAACTTTGAGCGCATTTTCTGTTCGGATTCCTGACATAAATCTACGTGCCGCGGAAGTTATTCCTGAGTTATTTTCAGGTTATAACTGGGTTATTTTCAATAATCCAGAAATAAACTGACCACGGGTTATTTTGTGAGGACTCATGACGTAGCTCTACGTGCCGCGTTGATTATTACTGAGTTATTTTCATGTTATTTCTGGTTCCCTAAACCCTAAACAATAAACCAGAAATAACATGAACCGGTCGAATTATTTCTGGATTATTGAAAATAAACCAGAAATAACATGAAAATAACTCAGTAATAATCAACGCGACATGTAGAGCTATGTCTGAAATCCTCACAGAAAAATTACGCGTAACGTAGAGCTATGTCAGAAATAATTGAAAATAAACCGGTTTATTGTTTAGGGAACCAGAAATAACATGAACCGGTCGGGTTATTTCTGAATTATTGAAAATAAATCAAAAATAACATGAAAATAACTCAATAATAATCAACACTGCACGTAGAATTATGTCAGAAATCCTCAAGAAAAATTAGGCATAACTTTTTTATAACTTCAAATGTTTTTATATTTTAGGTTAGACAAGAGTTTATGCTATGTGGGATATAGCCGCTTACGTACGCAATTTTTTTCCGCTGTAAAAACAAACAGACGACCTCCATTTCGCCTTCGCTGACCTCGAGAAACGTATCACTCCATAAAGCCGCAGCAGACGCCGACGATGAACGGCGGGCCTTCCGGCTTCCGTAATCTCTCTTCTATCTCTCTGTCACGAGCTCTGCGCCTCTACACCTCTGTCTACAGTGTTGAAATATCCGTTTTGGTATCTTTGGATTATTTTTTACTTGATTTTTTTCTTATGATTGCAGAGAATGCTCCGGTGACCAGGAATCTTGTGATTGCTTGTGCTTTTCTGACAGTACTATTCGTGGCTCGAGGCCGTTCTGCTAGCCTTGGGTTCTCATACCAGGTTTCCCTTCCCATCTATGTTGTTCTTTGCAATGATTTCTTGTATCATTTGTTAGTTCAACAAATCTGGTTACTTCTATTTTTAAATGTCAACTTCGAACTTATTGTTGAAATTTATGGTTGCAATTTTTAGAGAAATGTATGCATAGCTGAGTAGATCTGTAGACATTCATGGCGTTGCTGTTTTTATAACATTCGATGAATTTACTCAGCTTATGTTTTAAAGAAATGGTATCTTTGAGAGTGCGTTATGCCATAGGGTTTTTAATTATTGTATCTGAATATAGCTTCCAAACTTAGAATAGAAATTTTAACTGGTGATTAGGGAGATGTCAAACATAGCGATTGGGGAGGAGTTGGTTTCTTCATGTTGGAGTGATTAAATTCCAAGAGGATATTTTCTATATGGATTTTGGCAAAACACTTGTGTAGCTTGAGTTTATGGAAAGAAGTTATAGGGATTTCAGGAAGAGATGTATGAGAACTAAAAAGAAAGAATAGAATTTGGTAGAAGGGGAGATTTAGGAGCTCACTTGTTGGTCTCTAGGAGAGGGAAAGATAGATGAGAGAGAATATTATATCATGAATGAAAATGAGGCTTCCAAATCCTTCTAAGGGAACTTGAGAATAACAAGTGTTAGCTGCTGAGCATTAAAGTCTCATTAAAAAAATTGTTACCTAGAGTCCCAATGATGAAAAATTTTCGGGGAGGTAGGTGTAGAGATATATTTAATGGTTAGGAAAGTTGAGTAACACTACCTAGTCTCTAGGAAATGAGAGACTTTATCATAGTTTGGAATTAAATATTTAGATAAATGCAACTATATGTTGGCTCAATTTGAAAGGTTATGCATTGAGTTGATATTCTTATGAAGTTCGATGAAAATGTTAAGAGATGTTTGGCTACCAAATATACTAAGGCAGGCCCTTAAATGATTGTATTGGATAAGCATATTTTGTTGAGGGTTATTGTTCATAAGATTGAAAATTGTTCTATAAACTAAGAATGTAAGTTAAGCATGACCAAAACCTCTCTAAAGTAAAGCAAGAAGGTTTTTTTCTAACATCTTTATGATGCTCCTTTGATGTTCAAGTTTGTTGGTAGATTAGGGTAGGGATTTGAGGAACATACTTTTTTATTTAAAACGTAATAGAAAATTTGGATTTTGTGAAAAATAGATTGAACAACAGTCTCTTTGATCTTTTTGCTAGATGTCATGCATTTAATTATTATTTTTATGGAGAAAACATGATTAAACTCAAAATAACTTATTTGGTTCAAATTAATGAAAAAAGTTGTGTGTGCTTTCATATATTTTTCTACTCTTGATCTACCTAACAATGCCAACATGTGCTTTTGATATCATATTCTTAAAGACTATCACTACTTTATTATCATTTTACTTGCCTTTTCACAACAAATTTTTGATGGCTTTATGAATCATTATTTTATTTATCCGATTAGAAGAGTAGATGTTTTAGATTCGACTTATGTTAAGAAAGACAGAGGAAGACCTAGGAAGACTTGCGCTTTTTGTATAAAAAATGATCTTAATTTATTAAAACTAAATGAAAATATGACATTAAATAGGACGCAACGGAAATATGACATTTAAATAGGACGCAACGGAGAAAAAGGATTCATGTAGCTGACCCCACGTAGCGGGATTAAGGTTTTGTTGTTGTTGTTGTTATGAATCATCATTTTATATTTATTTATTTTGTTTAGTTAGATAGCCCTTATCTTCATTTTGGAATAGAGTTGATGTAGTGAATTAAAGTCGAGTGAGAAAGCATCTATTGGGATTTGGCAAAGCACTTGTGGAGCTAAAGTTTTTGGAAAGAAGGTGTAGGGATTTCAGGGAGAGATTTGTGAGGTCTAAAGGAGATCAGAGTTTGGTGGAAGAGGATATTGGGTAGCATACTTTCTGGTCTCAAGGAGGGAGAGAAAGAGAGGGGTGGGGTGGGGTTGAGAATTGCATACCATGAATGAAAATTGCAGTTTTAAGGCCAAAGCATGTGCATGTTGCTTAAACGCAAGGTAGTGAAGTATATCCATTTTTTTATTCTGTTTGACAAGATGATTCAAGGAAACTGGCTACCAAACCCTCCTAAGACGAGATCTTGAATAAGGTATCATGTAGAGCACTTTTGGGTAGGGCTGTCTATCAAAATCTAAACCTTATCTATCTTGCAAGGGAACTTGAGGATAACAATGAGTACGATGTTGAGCATTAAAGTCCCAAAAAAATGTTACTTGGATGTGTTTGTGATGCTAAAAGTTGTGGGAAGGTTGGTTGTAGGGCTTTGGCATTAGATTTTATAGAGCAAAAAAGAAAATATGTATTTGGTGGTAGGGAACTTTGAGAATCATTTACTAGCTTCTTGGAGGATAGAGACTTGAGCATAATTTGGAATTAAAATATGTTGAAGAGGACATCCGTTTACTTTCTCAGTTTGAAAGGCTATGCATTGCATTGATATTGTTGTAAATTTTGATATGAAATCTTAAGAGATGTTGGGCTTTTAAATGTTGCAAGATGTGTAGTCAAATGAGTGTATTGGAGAGCTTATTTTATAAAGGGTTATTGGCCATAGGATTTGAAATTTTCCTTACAACTAAAATAAGAAGCCAAGTATGATCAAAATCTCATTGAAGTGAGAAGGATTTCTCGATGATTTTTATAATTTTCCTCTATTTTTCAAGTTTCTTAGGAGACTAGTGTAGGGATTTATGGGAGATATTTATTTAAAAAAATAACAGAACATCAAGATTTGATAAAAAAATAGATTGAACAACTCTATTTAGTCTTTCTAAAGGCTATGCGTTTAATTAATATTTTTATGGAGAAGACTTTTGAGCACCAAAATAACTTATTTCGTTCTTTATTTGTTTCAATACCTACTTTTAAACCATGTATCCATAGCTTTAGACATTCTTTGATGATCATTATGATTGGTATGGTAAAATCACTGAGAACTCTATATTCTTCTTGAGGTGATTGGATGCCCCTTATGTTCTCAAGATTATTTGGACTTGCCCCTTTACATTAAGGGGCATTTACATGCATACCACATAATTATTATATATTTACATACCTAACATCTAGGCATTCATATTACGTGCATACCACTTAAATTTTTAACATCACATAAAAAATTCCACTGTAATTATCTTTTTAAAAGTGAATGATAATTGCATGGTAGTGAAGTAGGAGGGATGCAGAGTTGGCGTGGGGATTGGGTTTGGGTGGTTGGAACAACACTGATAGTGCAGGGGAAGAGCAAGAATGTGATGCAGGCAGCCGAAATATCAGGCGACCAACAAATAGGCGCTATTCCGAGTGGCGACAATGTGGGGAAATGACGACGACAACAGCGGGGAGGGTAGGGAAGTACATGACATAAAGAGGGGCTGCCTGTGGCGGCGGCGGCCGCAAGGAGGGTGGTCGACATAAAGGAACTGTATTGAGGACAACAAAACGACTGCTGTTGGGTGGTCTACAGCAAAGATAAATTCGTGGTAGTGAAGTAGGAGGGATGCAGAGGAGTTGGGGAGGATAAATACCACCTCGGAAATGAGGTATAGCTGGAGCACTGCTCGACCATTGAAGGAAAATCATCACCTCGGAATGAGATACAACTGAAGCACCACTTGCTCTAGGATACAACCCTAAAGGGAGAAATCTGGACGTCGACGGCTGTCTTGACAGAAAACTCGTGAAAAACTTCCCTTAGACACACAAACAACATATAAATACTATTAGGCAATTAAGTAGTGAACCACTTCTTTAGGATGAACTTTTAGAACCTAGAAACCAAACCGGTCCAAAGACTTTGCCACAAGAGTTCAACGCCGATCTAGCTCTTCCCTGCCAACATTCCGGTCCAATGTTTCCACGCCCTCTTCCAACGCTTCTTTGCCCGCATCAGTGTATTGCATCTTTTCATGCATAGGTTTATGACCCAAGGTGTATATCAAACTTTGGATGTGAGATGTGTAAATACATACGAATTGTGTGGCATGTATGTAAATTTCCCTTCCATTAGTTTTGAAGTCTGCTTGTTGTTTTTATTTTGACAGAATATCACCCAAAGGCTTCAGTTTTTGAGAGTCATTGCTTTAACATTTATATTTACATGCATAACACTCAAGATTTTAACATCACATAAAAAATACCATCATAACTGTCATTTTAAAAGTGAAATACATCTTTTTATGCCTAGGTTTATCACCCAAGATGTTATAAGTGTAAATATCAAACTTTGGGTATTAGATATCTAAATACATAAGAATTGTGTGGTATGCATGTAAATTTCCCTTTCATTAGGGAAGTCTGATTGTTGTTTATATTTTGACAGGATATCACCCAAAGGCTTCGGTTTTTGAGATTCATTACTTCATATTTACATGCATACAACTCAATTCTTTAACATCACAGAAAAAAAATACTACCAAAACTGTCTTTTTAAAAGTGAAATACATTATTTCGTGCATAGGTTTATGACCCAAGATGTCATTAAGTGTTAATATCAAACTTTGGGTGTTAGATATGTAAATACATAAAAATTGTGTGGTATGTATGTAAATTTCCGTTTCATTAGTTATGAAGTCTGATTGTTGTTTATATTTTGACAGGATATCACCCAGAGGCTTCGGTTTTTGAGAATCATTGTTTCAACATTCGCCTTCTCGTCAGTACCAGAGTTAATGTTTGGACTTTATTTGCTGTATTACTTCAGATTATTCGAGAGGCAGATAGGTTCTAATAAATATTCTGTAAGTACAAATGAATAAGGTTATACCGAGAAGCAACAATAAAGCTTTTTTAGGAAGATTTACATATGTACCACTCAATTCCTATGTATTTTAATACCAAACACCAAGACTTCTATTTTTTATATAATTGCCACCGTATGAATGAAAAAAACATATTTCATACCTAATAATTGGGTGGTATGTTGGTAAATATCTCAACTTTTTAAATACTTTCATTTATTAGCTTTTAGTGTGGTAATTATGAGCGGATTCTACTCTTTTTTCCCCTTGTTCCATCTGAATACAATAAAATCAGGCTCTCTAATTCTGATTTGCAGATCGGATTGTTGTACTTTATTTTTGTTAGCTAAATTTATTATCTTTCATTATGCAGGTTTTTGTTGTGTTTTCTCTCTCGGCGTCACTGTTATTCGAAGTTCTTGCCTTGGTGTTTCTAAAAGGTTTGCATTCTCTGAAATTTCTAATGCATTCTGCATTATACATTGCATAGCAAATTACTTTTAATAAAGGGCCATGCACATACAAAATACACAATTCTTATGTATTTACATATCACACCTAAACTTTATATTTACACACACAGCGCTGAAATCTTTAGCATCATTTCAAAGATGGCACTATTACCACTTTTTTAAAGGTAAAATGCACATTTCATGCATAGGTTATATATGTAAATATGAAAGTTTAGGTGTGAGATATGTAAGTGCATATGAATTGTGTGCTACGCCTGTAAATTTCTCTTTTTTTGATTTTTAGGGGTGTGTTGTGTTTTTTTCTCGATTTAGTCTATACCTGATTTGACATGTATCTCTCATTATTGTAATTTTCTATATCAGACACGTCTTCTGATCTACCTCGCTAGCTTTCAAGTCTCCTAACGTAAGATTATGGAAATTTGCCTGGGAAAAAAAAAAAAAAAACTGAAATAGAAAGTCATACCACCCTTTCTTGAATGCAGCTTATTTTTGGCCGTGGCATTTACATACATACCACCCAATTTATATGTATTTACATATCTAATACCTGAACTTCAATTTTTACATTTGTACCATCCAAAAATTTCATATTACATTAAAAATAACACCATTTTAACTTAAAAAAGTGAAATAAACCTTTTCGATTGTCATGCATAGGTAAGGTGGTATGCATGTAAAAATTGAAGTTTAGGTCTTAGATATGTAATTACATAGGAATTGAGTGGTTTGTTTGTAAATCTTCGTTTGTTGTTTTATTGATCATGTGCATAGCTCCTCTATATTATTTTCTTTTTATCATTATTTGCCTTTAAGTAGCTATTTATCACTGAGTGCCGACTATGAAATAAAGAAAAAGAAAGAAAATAATAAATAAATAAATAAATAATTTATTTACTTATCTAATCTCGCCTAAACCCCATTTTGAGTGCTTAATTGTCTCGCTCGTCCTCAATTACATGCACGTTGAGTGCCCCCATCTCATTCACATTTTCTCATTTTCTCCTTTTTCATTTTTTTGATTTGAAACCGCAATAGAGCGAAGCTTTCCTCTCTTTACTTCGTTCATCTTCTCCAGTTCAAAACCTGTGCAGCGTAAGTCATTGTTCCACATTTTTATTCGCACGTCTAAAATCTCTACCTCGTTCTTTCCTTTTCCCATTATGTCTTATCGTATTGTTCCCTTCCATTTCCAAATTGCACGCAAAAACCAAGGAAATCGCAGTCTCTTGTATTCCTTCTCCGTTTACGCACGCCGCTCCTCCCTTTGTTGAAACCATCCAATGGGAACTTACGTTGCATACTGCGCTATCGTCCCTGTTCTCCTCCACCGCCCTCGCCTCCCTGTAGCAAACACATCGCTCCCTCTTTGTTGCATCTCCCAACTAACATTCGATCCTTTCTGTCGTGCCTGCCATTCCTCTTGTTTCCGTGGCTGAAGCTGCCTCTACCTGTTTGAACTAAAGCTCTTGTTGCGCCTTCTAAACCTCTCGAGAGCCCCCACGATCGATCCTCATTTCCTTGCACACACTTTACTCTAACTTGAAACTGAGTCGTACTCCCCACGTCGGAAGCCTCCTCGCGCAACCCACACTGTCTTGCCTGAATTCTTTGTTCTGTCTCCATTGCCTAGAAACCGTAAGAACCCTCTCCTCCTTCACTTGACCAGAGCCGAAATCTCTGCAAATTTGTGTGATTCGTTTTGCTCGAGCCCGCACGAAGTCATCAGACCTCTCTACCCCAGCCTTTCGCAACTCAGTGCTCTTCCCTGTCGTTGCTGCAATCTCCTTTCCCACACCACACTAGCCTTGCACTGACACACTCCCCCCTGTGGTGAAGTTGTCTCCTTCCCCCTTATCTGCTCGCTTCGACCCAAACAACCCATGCAAAAACTGAGCTTCCTCACTTTGTATTCAAGCCCGAGCATCAATTCTAACCCTGCCGAAGTACTTGCCCGAGCCTTTTCTACTTATTTCTACTATTCATTTAGTTTTCTTTTTAAATGTTGTTGTGTATTATAAAAAAGTAAAAGAAAAGAAAAATATCGGTGTTGTATTTTTATTTTATTTTATTGTCTTTGTTGTTCTCAACTTCGTCGGAGCTTGAAAGTTATAACACATTAGGGCAATAGAGTCATTCCAAAAATTTCCATTCGAGGAAGCGCAAAACCCATCCGTGGGAGTTAAGTACCATTAGGAGACAACCGTAGACTCGTTTTGATTTTGTTTTTTTAAATTGTGGTTTTAAAATATCTGTCCCTTGGAATTAAGTACCATATGTAGAATAGCAGTTTGTGATTTGACATTTTTGCAGGTATATTGAAGCCCGTTGTGTCTTTTGAGAATATGGGTGAAATGTTCTGTTTTGCTCTCCGATCACAGTGTTTTGTGACATTGACCAACGAGCCTTTTGAAACAGCTGAGAAGACTGATGGGTTTTCAGATTTAGGTTCCTAGGGATGAAAAATAATTCAAACGAGGCTTTTTGAAATTTTAAAATTTTGCCGCGAGATTCGCAATACACTTGCTAGCGAACAAAAGTCGGTCTCTTTTTAAATCTTAAAACAATAATACTTTTGCAATTACTTTAAACTCCAATTGATTTCAAAATTTAAAAAAATTACATGATTTTCTCTCAAGTCAAATGCAACATCTTGAACTACGAGCCCACTTATAAGGCTGACTTCTGAGCTATGCATGCTTTAAGGTGTATATATAAACGAATCAATTACATATATTTTCAAACTTGCATGGGCATCAGGATGTAAAATCCATATTAAATTCATGACTTAAAATTTATGCAAGCCTTTAAAGCTTATAAAACTCTTTTAAGGTTTTAAATATGTGAAATTGTATGCCCACATGTGCTTCAACCAGTGTACTGAATGCTCAAATATTAGGTTCGAAAATGCTGCGCGCCGACTAATCTAGCCGCTTTGCTATAAGATAGAGTTGTAAGTCTCACTCAACTAGTTCAATCCCGCTGCTCACAAAAACTAAAGTTAATGAGTCTAGTAATTTTAAAATAAATATTCAAATGTTAAAATAAGAATTTATAAGTTGAAATCACATAATCCGGTTCTGCTCCTTATAAGGACAGAAGTCGTGGGGCTCATAACCTAAAATGTTTAAATTAACAAAATTAAACACCCCTTAAAATAGAAAATTTTAAAATTCTTAAATCCCTAATGATGACCATGTTGATCGAAGATTTCAATTGAAGGGGTTAATCTTTTAAATCAAAATTTTCATAGTAATCAATCAAAACAAATCAAGTTAAAATTAATCCCTAAAGTCTTAAAATAAATTTCACAACTTAAATCTTAAGTTTGTTGTTATTATTTGCCGAATATTCAATTCTAAAAGACTAAGCTTAATTGAAAGTACTCTCTCGTTTTCGGGAGGGATAATTAATCATAGGGACTTGCGCCTATGGAAAACCTTGAACCCGAGATAAAATTTTTTTTTGCAAAATGAGGGTGAAATCTCTGGGTACTGCCTTATCTATAATTCAATATGTATTCTGAAAATTTGGCGTGCCAAATTTCTCTTAACAAAAAAAAAATAAAATAAAATAAATGCATAGTCTCAGGAAGCGGTTATAATTTTCGGAGCCCCTTGATTCTAGCGACTTTGCTGGGGAAGACTCTTTTTCCAGCTTTGGCTAGTCATGATTGTAATATAATGACAATAAGACTAAAAGTAATATCAAAATTTGAAGTCCTAATAACATAATCAATGTCTATGTTATTCTATCTCTCCATTTTGGAAGTATGGACATAATATCAAATTATTAATTAAATGATCATCATCTTTCATTTATGCAAGATGGATCTTCAGAACACTTCTTTCATCATGAAACTTAGAAGTGGTGCCAACATTTGGTTGGCCAATGCTTTGATCAATATTGACAACACTGGTGCTACCATTTATTTGGTGGCCTGGAAATTCTTGTTGAAGCCGTTATAGGTGCTGTCGTAACTGTCCGCTGCATGCCTTCACAATGTCATCCTGCGATGCATCATCATGCTCACCAGCCCGTACAAGGATCGAGATCTTTAGAAGCTTCTGCTGTGGGGGTTCCCTGAAAGAGGACCCTAGTATTTGAAAGATTGATTCCTGTTGAAGCCCTAACTATGAGAACCGTTGCTGGACAAAAGATTTCATTGGTGCCCGTTCACCAGTTTGCTATCATACTTGATTAGGGCCGTCAAAACGGTTAGTTGTCGGCGAGCAGCTTGTGTTCGACTCATTAAGCAGCTCGTTTTTGGCTCGTGAAACAGCTCGTGTTCGACTAGTTCATTAAGCTTAACAAGCCGAACACGAACAATTTTTTAAGCTTTAAATATAAACAAGCCGAATACAAAAAATATTTGTTCACTCGTGTTTGGCTTGAATTGGCTCTAAAAGAAATAAAAAAAATATAAATATAAATATATTCAATATTTCCTTCTCTTATTGATGTTATTCCGCGGAATAACACCGGGTAACACCGCGAAATAACACCGCAGTGTTATTCGCGGTGTTATTGGTGTTACTTGGTGTTGTTCCGTGGAATATGTTCCATCGAGCCTATTTCAAGCCGAACTCGAGCTGAACACGAACAATAATATGTTATTCGAGCCGAACACGAACAATAATATGTTCGGGTGTCATTTCGAACACGAGCCAAATTGAACGAGCCGAACACGAGCCTAGGTTAAGCTCGCTCAAGCTCGGCTCGTTTACAGCTCTATACCTAGGGGTGTAAACGAGCCGAACACAAGCGAGCCATGCTCATCTCGTGTTCGGCTCCGTTATATTT